TCCAGGATCTCCTACATAGATCCCCCTCCAAGTGGTTGACAGTGGTAGCTGGGCACCATCTAGTTCTTCTGGTCTCATAGTCGTATAAGCTGAGGATCGCAATTGAACTAATTGTTTCCATGAATCTTTGGTTTTCTTCATTCTTCTTTGCTCTGGACAAGGAGAGACCCTTCATTACATCTAGCTGTCTGCTTGCAAGCTTCTAAGATCCCAGTCGCTACTCACCAAAGTAGGATGTGGAACAATGTTTTATGTAGTATGTTATGCCAACTGAGCTTGATGACCCCTGTGACTCCCAAGATGGTCCCAAGCTCACAAGTCCAACTACTCACACCCTCTGGGTAGCTGGCTTTGGTCAAGAAGGGACTACAATCTTGTCCCTTGTCAGCTCTACTATACACCTGAGAATTCTTATAGAACATACAAATACACTTGTAAAAACATTATCTGCCAGCCCTATAAATGGTCTTGGGCACACTCCCCTCTGCATAGACATACCTAATAGTTCAGCCTGTCCACCCATCTATCCACTGTATATCCATGTTTGTCTTCACTGACAGTGCTGTACTGTGTGTGCAAAAGGGTTCATCTTTGTTGTCAGTACCTCCCATGTACCTCTCTACGTCTTCCTCTTCCTCAATGCCACCATGTTGATCCCTCACATTTGGTACATTGCCCTTCTCTTCACCCAAATCAATACTTGTCTCTACCTATCTAACACTGTTCCCTACCCTCCTCCCCACCCATGCTAACCAACAAAGAAAATTTCCTTTGATATAGAAACCTTTCCTTGAATTTTTACAATAATGGACTAATACAATATTTGTCCTTCTGTGACTGACTTATTTCACTCAGCATAATGTACTCCAAGTTCATCCATGTTGTGCCATGTTTTACAGATTCTACATTATTCTTTAGGATTGCATAGTATTCCACTGTGTATATGTACCATACTTTGGATATCCATTCCTCAGTTGATGGACATCTAGGTTGTTTCCATCTTTTGGCTATTGTAAATAGTGCTGCGATGAATATGGGTGTGTGTATGTCTGTTCTTGTCCTGGCGCTCACATCTTTAGGATATATACCTAGCAATGTAATGGCTGGGTCAAACAGTATTTCTAATTCCAGTGTTTTAAGGAATTACCATACTGCTTTCCACAGTGGCTATACCATTTGATAGTCCCACCAGCAGTGTATGAGAGTCCCAA